ATTAACTAGAAAATAAAATAATATTTAAAGAGTGAATTGTATGAATACATTTGTGTTATATTCAGTCGAATCTTTTTCCTAGGTCATAAATCAAATAGGTAAGGCCTGATCTAGAACATGGACACATGTAAATACAGAAATTATAGAAATGTTTGACGTTTTCCTGCATGATTTTAAATGATAGATTGCATTTCTATGAATTTTTTTAATCAAATAAGGCCATATTTATTGAAACATTTTGCAAATATCTATTGCATGACTGTTTCATTAAACTCCGGAAGCAAGTAGAAATGAATTTTCATTAAGATGCATCCGTTGAATATTTGTTGTGAAATATTTTACGTTTAAGAAAAAAAAAAATCAAGAATATCACAAACATCCTTGATAAAAGAACTTTTTAGTGTTAAATTGAATATATTTTATTTTAACAAACAGATGGAGTTTGACACAAATTCCAAAACTTAGAGTGCCCTTTCCCTAAAGTTTTATAAAAGTTTGCTACATGATTTTTAAGCTAGATAATTGTTAGTTCTAAATTCTGTTACTGCCTGGACTGACAAATTTCTATCGATTGGAATTAATATGATTTGGATTTTCAATTGACGAGCTTAAAACACAACAATGCCACTACCTGCGTACAAGAAATACCAAAATAAAATAAAATAAAATTAAGAAAAAAACAAAAATAAATAAATAAATAAATAAATAAATAAATAAATAAATAAATAAATAAATAATAATAATAATAATAATAAAGAAATAAAAAAAATATTAAAAAAATTTAAAAATACAAGCTACCGGTAATTCATTATATTGCTAAATGAAAAAAATTGACGATAACAGTGATCGATCTCAAGAAGTCTATAGACAATATAAATATGTGAACGGGGCATAAAACACGGACTCCTGGAAATTCCAGAGATGGGATCAGGTGCCATGGAGAAGTTAGCATCCCCTGGCGACTGGTAACACCCTCCGTGTGCTCCGAACAGTGATCGATCTCAAAAATCCATAAATACAAACATGTGAAGAGGGCATAAAACACGAACCCCTGGAAATTTCAGAGGTGGCATCAGGTGTTTAGGAGGAGTGAGCATCCCCTGTTGACCGGTCACACCCGCTGTAAACCCTATGTATTGATCAGGTACACGGAACATTCCATAGTGAAATATAAATCAAATTAGTATAAGAACAGAGGCCTAACAATTGGTATGAAATACCTCTGCCGAAAACGACCTAAACATAGGTTATATTTGCTAAAAAATCCATTATAACGACCATAGAATGTACGCAATGCTGACTTTTAACGAAGTTGTTGAAATCCCTGCAACATCAACTGATCTGTCAGTAGCCTGGCATGGTTTAAAAATTAATCGTACTCGGAGCATGCTCTTGAGTATCGAATAAGTTGTGAGATGTAAACACCATATGTAGGTGAAAGCGGAATATTACTAATCAAATACGGAAAGTTGACGATGGAAAAGCTGAAGTCATCTTGTTTCTCATACAATGTAGTTGTTAGATGGGCCTTAACGACTATAGTCAGTAAAGCATCCAAATATGAAACATCCAAATATGAAAGGGATGTGCCAGACTACGTGTGTATTTTATTTCGAGTTCAAAGAGATATATCGAATCAACGTGGGAATGAAATGAATATTATTAATTGATAAAACGTTGTCGGTATATCTTAATGTCGAATTGAATGCCACAGCAAGAGACTTCTTTTTCATGTAGAAGTTTTTGTATAAATTCGGCTTTTTATGAATACAAAAATAGGTCTGCTACTAACGTAGTGCAATCAGTACCCAACGGAATTCCAACAGATTGATGAAATACTTGATCTCCAAAAACTACATAGATTTAAACTCGACATTTAGATATATCGACAACGTATTATCAATTAACATTTACTTGTAAATCATATACAGTACCAATTTTGATGCACCAGATGCGCATTTCGACAAATTATGTCTCTTCAGTGATGCTAATGCCGAAATTTTGGAAGTCCGAAATATTTGAATAAATAAAAAAAAAACTTTTGAAGGGCTGAAAAAAGGGGTGCTAAAGACTAAAGCCAAATACATCGAAGGATCAGAGCTATGAATGAGGGAGATAATCCTTAATTTTGAAATAAATGTCTGAATTTTACCACAGCAAATAAATATGTATCCGTATTTTCAAGCTTGTACCGAAGTACTTAGCTACTGGGCTATAGAGGCCCTCGGGGGCTAACAGTCCAGTAGCAAAGGCCTCGACCAAGGGGTCATAATGTAAATCATATATGGTAACAATTTTGATGCACCAGATGCGCATTTCGACAAATTATGTCTCGTCAGTGATGCTCATGACGAAACGTTGGAAATCCGAAATATCTGAATAAAAAAAAAACTTTGAAGAGCTGAAAAAGGGGTCCAAAAGACTGGAGCCAAATACATCGAAGGATCAGAGCTATGCATGAGGGATGAGAGCTTTGCATACTTCCATTGATGATTCATATGTCGACTCGATATATCCCAGTGAGCTTGAAATAGAAGATACCGCAGAGTCTGACACATCTGTTTCATATTTGGATATTTTATTAGAAAAAGACGTTAGTAATCTAACAACAAACCTTTATGATAAACGTGATGACTTCATTTTTCAATCGTTTTCAACTTCCCTTACTTATGTAGCAATATACCCTTATCACCTGCATATGGGGTGTTTGTCTCCCAGTTGATTTGATACGTAAGAGCATACGTACTCTTCGTATGAGCAATTTCTCAGACGAGGCAAGCTATTAACAAACAAGTTGATGAAACAAGGATATCAACAGTCTCCTTTGAAGTTATCATTCTGCAAGTTTTATGGTAGATACAATGACCTTCAGCAGATACAACCTATCATTAAGTCAAATGCTGACTGACGTTTTTCATACTAATTGTTAGGCCATTATTTAAACATTGAATTGTCTACGGATTTTTCCGTTTTCTCGATCATGACAAGGAGTACACGGCGATTGTGACCGTTCGGCAGGGAACCCTCACTCCTCCATGGCACCTGATCCCACCTCTGATGTTTTTGGAGGTCCGTGTTCGCTCTGATCCCGATTTTTATTGTCTAAATAGACTTTGAGCTTGAATACTGTTCGTTATCTCCATATTTCATTGTCATCCAGGAACTCAAGCATGTTTTTAATTAATATCAACTTTGGAGTACTTGTGTGTACAATCAGAATGTCTTTAACAAAATAATTTTGCAAATACTCTATGATATGTAAATTTACGAGTTCCTTTTTGAATTTAAAAAACAGTTGTGAAATATATGAAGACAACGAACAGTATTTAGGCTCAAAAATACAACAAACAATACAAAATACGAGCAAAATACACGGACCTCCAAACATCAGAGGTGGGATCAGGTGCCATGGAGGAGTGAGCATCCCCTGCCGACCGGTCACACCCGCTGTATGCTCCTTGTCATGATCAGGAAAAAACGGAAAAAATCCGTCGACAATTCAGTGTGTAAATAATGGCCTAACAATTTGTATGAAAATCGTCAGTCAGCATTTGACTCAATGATAAATTGTATTTGCTGACATGTATGACATGTGTGTATGATGTAAAAAAATGTGGACTTTATTTCATCTTGAACAGGTTGAATAAAGTGTTGAAAAGTCGTGCATTTTGATGCTATTGATTTGGGTAAAATTTGTGATTTCAAATTCCCTAAAATTTCCTCGCACTTTTGAAGTATGCACCACTTCTCGAATATGTTGTTTTACAGTACTCCTGATGGTTCTCATTCTCTTTGAGGAGTAAAGAAAGACTTGGTAGAACATTTACCAGAACCAGTTATGCATCTTTTTCTGAGAGGATTTCTATGTAGTTGTGGAATCGAGTATAGGCATTGCTATTCAAATCAAATTGATTTTGTTGGAAATATTAATGAAAAATATTTAAAACTGATATATTGTTTTGAAGAATTTCAACCTTAGGAATGGAACTAGATATCGTGTCATATAAAAGTTTGAATGCATTATTACATACTCTGTATCAGATATCATATCGTGTAAATTTTGAATACTCTTTTCATACTATTTCAGATAGCATACTTAAAAGTTTGATTACACTATTACATACTCTGCTTCAGATATCATGCTGTGAAAATGTGTGTATACACTATTGCATACGTCGGATCGGATATGCTGTTTAAAAGTTTGGTGACAATTACTTGCTTACCAGATATCATGTTTTGTAAAAGTTTGATTATATTTACACACAGACAAGATATAATGTTGTGCAAAAGTTTGATTCCATATGCATACAGACCAGATATCACGGCTTGCATGATTTAATTTTACTATTACATACGCTGGACCAGATAAAGTCTTGTGCAGTTTGACCTAAAATTTTCATACACTGGTCTTGTAGTATAAATATATCACATTTACTGGACTTAATGTCATGACATTCGTAGATCTTAGCACTTCAACTAAATATAAGTGGTCTTTGAATAACTTGTCTTTTTTGTAAGCCCTATTTTTTGCGTGTTTTGTCGTACAAACATTCAGTTAATGAATTTGAAATTAAAACAATCTTGTAGAGAATATCAGCAACAAGGAAGCATTCTCACTTATGTTGCACACTTATAGGTACTGACTTTGTTTATCGATACATACTAATCTACTAAACAATTGCTTAACATGTAAAGATGGTTGTCTTGCTGTACAGTGTAACTGAATACGTTTTCTTCTATTTTGAATAATGTCAATCAGGCACAAAAGAAATGTAATAGATAGTAAGTTTTTCGATAAGAAAACAGCGAAATTTTGAGTAACGTAAATAAGAATGTTTAGATAATAAATAAATATTTATTGATTAGAATAAAAACACAGACTAAAACAACACTAATACCAACAAGATTCTAGGCCAGCTAGATATGTAATGTACTCGTCTGGGGTTTGGCACGTAAACTCAACAAAACTTATCACAGATCACGTGATCGCTTCCACTTACAAGTCCTACTGGATGATAACTTGATTTCAACGATCCACTCGACTATTCTCGGCATTCGTCCACTGTAACGTTCCATCGAACAAGGTCACCATTTCGAAACCTTAAGAGAAATATAATGCGCTGTTTACAACAGCATTGTTCTTATAAATCCCTCAAGCAAACACCAAATAAATCTGGGCATTTATTAAACAGGATGTGCAATGCACAACAGTAATTGTACAAAATGCACAATACGTGAAACTGACAAGCGACGAAAAAAGCAATAGCATATTTCACCGACTGAATTGACACTATTTAACAACACTATCCGGGACTTGACACTCGCGTTGTTGGGATTTCTTGTTCAGCCCAGAGCCGATAGTTCACTACTGAACATCTGAAGTTGAAGTAGTGTAACCAACCGTCGTCTGGGAGTCGAGTAACTTCTCCCCTTCCACTGTAGGCTTTATCCCGGGGTTGTCGGTGATTTTCTCTGGAGCATGAGAATTGGTTGGTATTTGTTTGTCTTTTTTGTTATTCACTGGTTTAATTCTGTGCATGTGTTGGTCTAATTGATTTAAGTCATTCACATTGTCAGGAATAATGACATCGAAATTTGAATCCTTATCCGGGGTCATTGTGTTCGATGATTCCGGTTCTGTGAAAACAGATTTGATGATTTTCTTCAGACTGCTAGCGAACTCCTTTGTTAGTCTGTTGGTAAGCGTGGTGATTTTGTCGTAAAGTTTGTTTTCTGTTTGAGGAGGTTCTGCAGTACCAGACGTGGAGTTACTCTTAGAATCGCTATCTACCTTCTCTGATGGTAGCGTATCAATCAAGGATACTTTAGATTTATCCAAAGCTTTTTCCACAACCTTTATAACATTGTTAATAATGGACTTTGAGCGCTGCGTTGAAGCTGGAATGTCTGACGTTTCTGGGGCACCTGTAGAACTTTGAGAATCTTTTCTTCCTGCTATTTCGGGTTGACCACCTACCAGTTCACGGAAATTGACCTCATTATCCACAATATTTGTTTCAGGTAATGGAGAACTTGATACTTTTTCTGAGTCTTGCTTGAGTTCAGTGTTGCTTATCAACTGTGAAGCTGTTGTTGAAATTTGCGATTCTGTTGCCGGAAACAGTTTTGTAACTTTGTTTCGTGACAAATCTTGCTTCGTAATTTCCGTTGACTGAGGTTGGTTTGCGACAGCAAAGGAGTTACCTAACTTCTCAGAGTTTGTATTTTCTTTTTTATTGTCAATGAGAGGAAGTTCCAACACTGACACACTCTTAACAGGAGGTTGCCCAATAGTCTTCGGAAAGAGCAAAGATCCTAAAGTCGTATGTGATTCTGCTTTTTTGACCGGGCTGTCAAATGTACTTAATGGCTCTGATTTTGAGGGTAAAATTTCAATACTATTTTGTTTTCCCTCCTTTTTAGTAGGCATACTCTCTGTTGACGAGCTCAGCGAAGGCAACACAGATGGATTGGCTTGGTCCATTTTAAATCTAGCATCGCCCGTCACATGTTGGATGAATTTAGAATCGGTTGATTCTGCATTCCTGCTCTCTTCAAGATTTTGTTTAGTAGAAGCTGTTGAATGAACGGGAAGAATCGCAATGGGAGAATTGTTTTTATTTATATCGACGTTGACGCCATTCTCAGTTATATTCTGCATAACATCCTGCTCTTTTGTGAGTTCTGTAGTCGTTTGATATTCTTTTGTTTTTGCTTCAGTTGTTTGTTCTTCAGAGATCACGTTGTAACTGTCAGCGCTGCTTGCTAAAGTCTCACCAGCAATAGTCGTCACCTCGTCACTGTTTTCTGTAGATGTCACCGGGGTTTCAGAAGCGTCTGGGGTTGTTGTTTTGGTGTTTGTTGTCTCATCTGTTGTAATAGTGGTGGTAGTTGATGTACTAGTGGTGGTGGTAGCTGTGGTTGTCGTTGATGGTAATGATAACGTCGTCGGCCTTGTTGTGGTGGTGACAGTGGAAGATGTGGTTGTTTTGACGGCATTTGTGTCTTGTTTTTGATTTGATATTCCAACCTTATCTTTATGAGTTTTAGTTGGGCCATCATCCCCGATATTATTGGTAAATTTGGAATCAGATCGGGGTAACGCTAAACTCTTGAACAATGAAAGAAGTAGAAGGTTTCTATGTTTCCTTCTTGGTTTTTTCTTTGCTGACTGACTTGCTTTGCCCTCTTCTGGGTTGATTAGTTTCTGGCAATGCTCTCCTTCATAATTTGGCGGACATTTGCATCTCCCAGTATTACTGCACGGAGAGGTTTCCACACAAGTTCCTCCATTTTTACAGATGTCACTAAATATTTCACAATATCCACGGCATGTGGAAGGATTGTCAGAGTTGGATACATTCGCCAAACAAAGTCCCAGGAATAATCCAAAAATAACAAAATATATCAGTTTTATTTCCATGGTGTACAGAACGCCATCACGTGGTAACATCATAATCTGTAAAAAAAAAAAAAAAAAGTAGTGTAATATAATTCTTCTTAAAGGCGTTTTTTCAATCTAAACGTTCCAGTTTGTTTAATAAGTAATATATATACAGTCTCTGGCGAACTACAACAATGTATGGATGAGATCATTACTTACGAAGATTGAAGTTGTCATTTTAAAGGAATGCTTATTGAGGGAAGACACGTGGAGACTAATGAACGTTCACCTATCCTAACAGAGACAAGTCTACTTATTTATAAACTCTAAATGAACGTGGGTCTTGATGACAACAAATTCTAATTAATATGTTAACAGAAAATAATTATTCAGGATTGTTATTTACTATCACAGACAATTACTAGGGACTCCGGGTCGCTATTGATTTGGGGAAAAAGGTAAAGAAAAAAAAATATTCCCAGGTAAAGCAATCGGATGAATTTGACTAATGAAAAATGTGATGGTCAGGGTGCGCATAAATTGATGACGTCTCTTCTAGATTTTATGACGTTTTTTCAAAACCATAGGTAATTGATTAATTCCGATCCATCCCTAAAACATATATAAAACAAATTTTGTTGATCGCTAAAATCGACCATTTAAAATTTGTGTGGAAACAGTAGTGAAATGGAAGTCGGGACACAAAAGCAATGTAGGCTTCCAACACTACAGAAGAGGATGACGCTGATTAGACATCACGGTAACAAATAAAAGCAGTCTACAGATCGAGTTGACGCAAAATGTAAACACTGGCCATTGGTGACAGACTGTGACGTCACGGAGACACTTTGTAAAAATAGCTGTATAAGCAGCGCCAGAAGGCAGAAAAATGTATTGTGTATTTATATCGCAGATCATTTTTAATTTTCCAGACAAGAATGCACATCAGTACGAGAAATCATATTCTGACAAGCATATCATATTTATTGCCTGTGCGATAGCGCCGGTACGTGAATAGAGATCTCGTGATAAATAAGTAAAGCACTTGTACAAAACACGGAATCATGATTTAAGTTTTCAGTGTCCACAATTATTAATATATGCTCTAAATATAGAAATAAATAAATTAAGCCATAATAAAAAAAATTATTACCTATCTTATACGAGGATAATTTTTTTTGTAAACGAAGGCATTTGTTGGGTTGTCTTGAAGATGTCATACAATCAGTACATATTAATTAATTAATTAACTAACTAATTAATTAAAAGGAACCAGGAAATAGAGAGAAACTTGGACTAACAGATGTTACAACGTACAGAAGATTACAGCTAATGTCGGTAAATTTATTGGATTGAAAGAAAGAGTATTCAAAAAAGTTATACACATGAATATATCTTAAAGATATTTGAAATATGTTAATTTACAAATTATTCTTTCAATAAAAATTCTAGACTGGTAATATTTTTTTTTTAAATGAAAAAAATGCTGTCTCTTGGCTTGTAAAGAACCTGAATGATCCAGAATTTAGCCTTTGAGATAAATCTAATGACCTTTCACCCTTATGAGATTGTAAAAATGTGGAATCATGTCTGTATGTCAATGCACGCTGTTTTTCTTTCTTGTGAAAGAGCATAAGCACCGTCTATAGCGCGCAATTTCAATACATAATAAAAACAAATATGGGCGTTCCTCAACTGTGCTGCCTAATTTTCCATAAATTAACATAACAATTAGAATAAAATAGCATATTTTTAAATCTCCGCACAGAAGTCGTTAAATTGAAGATACCGGTGATTACTTGATATGTAAAAGTACTCATGAAACACTCACAGTTTGTAGCTTAATTCCAGATATGATAATTAATTGGTACACTATTGTTAATTTGATTATAATTTACTGATCAGCCTCCGACATAAGCCACGGATCCTATTGTACACCACATGTACAAACTTTCTGTCTGGCAAGGTTTGACAACGGAGCTAATTTATAGATTCTCTCGAGGAAAAATATTGAATATAATCTACAATTTAAATGATTGCAAAAGGCAATAACTTATATTAAGAATTAACAATGAAAACTGTCCTGAAAGGTGTAATTCAATCCGTATAATATCTGTCTTTTGTATATAGTGATAAAATATATGACCTTCAATTATTTCCATTATTTGTTAGTATGAAAAAAAAAAACTTGTCACATCAGCTCAGAGAAAATCCGATTTCACGTTGAAGCCGACATTTCACCTGTGATGCTTAGTAAGCACATAGCACTGTACAGTATCAAAGCTTAAGCATATTATTGCTAAAATTTCAAGGTTTTTGACGAACCCGTGAACATGAGGAATATGTGTGAAGGGTTAGTAGGACAAATGAGGATAAAAGCACAAGGAGAGATATTTCACCACGGAGTTTCCCCCAAAATTGTAACATTTATGAATAAAATATCAATTAATAAGCGAAGTATAGCAAGGATAAGAGCAACTATAATTTGGGAGAGAAATATTGTGCATGTGACTGAAGATAAATGTGTGTAGGAAATAACTCCATGTAATTAATGATGGATGTGAATGGACAGACACAGGGGGACTAGGGTTAGATTTAAAAGCAGTGTTATACACACCAGAAACATTTCTTAATTTTTCCAATTTTCCCTTTAAAAGAAAAACAGACCCCCCCCCCAAAAAAAGGTGCAATCGCAAGGAACTGAATTATAGTGCGTCTTCACAGTGAGCAGAGTATAACGTGGTAGGCGTGCACGGACTTGCAAATTTGACTTAATTGTTAAAAATTGAAAGTCATAGCATTTGTTTCTAAAAAGTGATTTACGAACAGGTAAATAACAGAATTTAATACATTGTCTAAAACTTTAGTACGACTATTCTCCCAAATTAGATTTTTAAAATAATCAGTACTTTTAGTTACATAACATTTTGTTAAAATTATGATAGAGTTGCATTAAATTTAACAATTTTATATACTTTTGTATCGATCACAGTTCGTTATCTTCATTGTCTTAAGATATTAATGATGCATTAATTATTTCTATCAAACTGCCAGTAAAAATAAAAAAAACCTCCAAGTATTTTTCCTCATTCTCTTAAACGATGCTTCAACATGACATAAAACCTTAGGAACGATCGAACCTTCCGTATAGGAAATAATTTACAAAAAATCTTATATGAAATGACTTTTTTTGAAATAAAGAACAAGGCATGATTAAACGTACTTTTTAACCATTCTATCAAAGTATGCACACTGTATGCTGATACGTTTATAATTGTTACGGAATTCTAGATTGATAAAAACATGGTCCACCTACTTAAAATACACAACTGTGGTTATCTTGAAAATTTAAATAATTTGGATTTCTGACTCATATTCAGATATAGAAATAATATGAATATCCTTGTCGTTCTGCTGAAGTCAAATTCTGACAATTAATGTCCTCCAGTGATCCGTAATAACTCCCACAACTGACGATAACCATCAAATCCAACGATTTTTGAGTTGATTTTTCTCTTTAAGATTGATTAAATTTTTTTTTTGATTTATCATTGTCAAAGTTGACAAAAAAATGAGATGCCGGGAGAATCATTCAGATATGGAATTTTGGGGGAAAAAAGAATAGATTTCTTTTTAAAAATAAAATTTATATTTCTCTTTACACATTCAGTTGTGGAAAACGTACTCGTTAAATAGAATTACTGATAATATCATAAAAAAGGTCGACAGTTAACAGAAGATTTTGTAGATGAAATATTATTTCATATATATATATATATATATATATATATATATATATATATATATATATATATATATATATATATATATATATATATATATATATATATATATATATGCAAAGCAAAGATATCTAATAAATAAACTAGAACAGAAATAACAATATGATTGGATAAGCTTACATTTATGTTAGAGCTAAAGCATTTTTAATATTTAATTTTTGCAAACTGTCAATATTTTTTTTTATTTATTTCGTCTGGTAATGGAGGATTAGGCGTATAAAATACAAACGATATTCAATAAGAAGGTTGTTTGTACTTATGAACAGCAGCGATAGAGAATTTACTAACCCTAGGGCTTCACTTTATGTGTATTGCAACAAAATTATCCACTTTTCTCAATACGGGGGAAGCATAATAACGGATTGTATCGCAAATGATAAACCGAATATGGCACTCGATCACTTCAGCCAATGTAATTTAGTACATCGAAACTGCTGATTCATTTTAAGAACAAATCCATCTATCTATGAAGGAACCAGTTATTTTTACATGTATATCTTATTTCAAAAGAACAAAAATCAAATGGCTATTCTTGGAGATGATGATAGATGTTCAGAACAGGCATTAGATTTTTATTACAAATAATTTTTTTCCCTCTGGAGTATAATGCAAAAGACCAAAATCACAAAACTTGCAAATACTGTAAAATTTAAACATTCATCTGCAAAGACAATTAACATGAAATATTTTAAAGAGATTCAAAGCAAGCAAAGGCATTGGAGTTCTGGTTTAAGTATGAGTACTAGTAAGTTATAACAGCGTCTATGTAGGAGACAGGAATGTGTGGGTGGGGGCGATTTCAAAACACCCCACAGACATCCCTAAGAAATCCATTGCACATTTTTACAAGTGCTTCATTAGCACTTTAATTGATCTGAATAAATTTGTGGAGAGCGTGTATATTAATGAATAATTAGAGACATCTAAATAACACAATGCATGATTTGTTAGTGTGAGTCATTTAAAGGAAATCATTTATACTACTAAAATATTTAATAAAATTTCATTACAACATAGAAAACGATCAGTCAGAAATCCAATAATATGCATATAATACATGTTCTATGCCCTGTTCACAGTTTTGTATTGATTGTAGTTTTTTTGAGAATTTGTCCAAAATCTTGTATGTGAAAAGAAGAAAACACTTGCTGTGGCCTTCAACTCGACATTTAGATATATCGACGACGTATTGTCAATTAACAATGGCTATTTCCATTCTTATGTCGATACGATATATCCTTGTGAGCTTGAGATAAAAGATACCACAGAGTC